AAGGAAGGAAGGAAGGAAGGAAGGAAGGAAGGAAGGAAGGAAGGAAGGAAGGAAGGAAGGAAGGAAGGAAGGGGAAAGAAGGAAGGAAGGAAGGAAGGAAGGAAGGAAGGAAGGAAGGAAGGAAGGAAGGAAGGAAGGAAGGAAGGAAGGAAGGGGAAAGAAGGAAGGAAGGAAGGAAGGAAGGAAGGAAGGAAGGAAGGAAGGAAGGAAGGAAGGAAGGAAGGAAGGAAGGAATCTATTTTTGGGGACTTTTGGTCAAGATGGCGGTGTAGGTAAACGTGTTATCGCGTCCTCCCACAATCACATCAAAGTTACACCTAAACTACGGAACAACCATCATTCAAAACCACCTGAAATCAAGCTGAATGGAAGTCCTACAACTATGGAATTAAAGAAGCAGCTGCATTAAGACTGGAGGGGCAGAGGCGCATGGGGTGGTTCCACACCCACAGGTGGCGGATAAGAATCAGGAGGATACCTTGGCTAGGAAGGTCCTCTCTGAGGACTAAGGTGTCCCCGTCCCACACCAGGCACACACTCAGGGTTCCAGTGCCAGGAAAAGAAGTCTCCATAACTTCTGGCTGGAAAAACCACGGGAACTGAGACTCAGGGAGGCTCAGGCAGCTGGAACCCCAGGCAGCTTCTCTTAAAGGGCCTTCACATGGACTTATTGAACTCATTCACTCTAAGCTCAGAGGGGAGGCAGCTGGAGGGGCACCAGAGACATACAGGGAAGAACTGAGCTATTTGGCATTGGAGCAAGGGCTGGACAGGGGGCTTTCTCTGGGATAGACTACTGTCAGAGGTCCTTTGTTCCGTTGGTGAGCCCTTCCCTGGGGCGGCAGACAGCCGCCATATCTGGGACTCTAGTAACCTGCCGCACACTCTTTGCCTCACCCTGGTGACTCCCTGAGGCCCCACCCCACCCAACTTTCAGGCCCACCCAAGCTGTTGTCAGTTGCTTTACCATAGGATTGGCCTGTCTTGTATCCTGCTTCAGGTTTTCTTTAATTCTTTCAAACAAGCAGCATCTGGTCTCAGCTAGCCCCATACCTCTCATTAAGTAATACATAGAAACAAACACAGGGAGGCAGCCAAAATGAGGAGACAAAGAAACAGGTCCCAAATGAAAGAACAGAACAAAACCCCAGGAAAAGAACTAAGCAAAATGGAGATAAGCAACCTAACAGATGCTGAGTTCAAAATACTGCTTAAAAGGATGCTCAATGAACTCAGTGAACTTAATGGGGGCCTCAAGAGCATAAAAAAAGGACCAGTCAGAAGTAAAGGATGCACAGTCAGAAATGAAGGAGGCACTACTGAAATAAAGAATAATTTACAGGGAATTAGTAGTAGAGTAGGTAAAGCCAAGAAGAAAACCATTGATTTGGAATATAAGGAAGCAAAAAACACCCAATCAGAACAGCAAAAAGAAACAAGAATCCAAAAAAAAATGAGGATGGTGTAAGGAGCCTCTGGGAAAACTTCAAGCATGCCAACATTCGCATCTTGGGGGAGCCAGAAGGAGAAGAGAGAGAACAAGAAATCAAAAACCTATTTGAAACAGTAATGGTAGAAAACTTCCCTAACTTGGTGAAGGAAACAGACATACACGTCCAGGAAGCACAGAGAGTCCCAAACAAGGTGAACCCCAAGAGGCCCACACCAAGACACAGCAACATCAAAATGCAAAAGGTTCAAGACAAAGAGAGAATCTTAAAAGCACAAGAGAAAAGCAGTTAGTTACCTACAAGGGCGTTCCCATTAGACTGTCAGCTGATTTCTCAACAAAAACTTTGCAGGCCAGAAGGGAGTGGCAAGAAATATTCAGAGTGATGAAAAGCAAGAACCTATAACTAAGATTACTCTATCCTGCAAAGCTGTCATTTAGAATAGATGGCCATATAGTTTCCCAGACAAGGAAAAGCTAAAGGAGTTCATCACCACCAAACCATTATTACATGAAATGTTGAAGGGACTTTTTGAAGAAAAAGATAAAATATATGAACAAACAAAATGGCAATGAATACATAGCTATCAACAATTGAATCTACAAACAAAATGAACAAGCAGAACAGAAACATTCTCATAGATATAGATAGAGAACATTTTGTTGGTTGCCAGATGGGAGGGGTGTTGGGGGAATGGGTGAAAAAGGTGAAGGGACTGAGAAGTACAAAAGTATTGCTAGTCTGACAAACCTCAAAGGGAAGGAGGTTTGGGGGGTGGGAAGAAATAAACCAAAGAACTTATATGCATATATGCATAACCAATGGACACAGACAACAATGTGGGAAAAGGCAGGAGAGGGGTGAGAGTGGGGAGGAGGGAGTCAATGGGGGAAAAATGAGGAATATCTGTAATACATTCAACAATAGTGATTTAAAATAAAGAGAAAGAAAGAGAGAAAGAAAGAAAGAAGGAAAGAAGGAGAAAGAGAGAAAAAGAAAGAAAGAGAGAAAAAGAGAGAAAAAGAAACAAAAAGAAAGAAAAAAAGAGAGAGAAAGGAAGAAAGAAAGAGAAAGAAAGAAAGAAAGAAAGAAAGAAAGAAAGAAAGAAAGAAAGAAAGAAAGAAAGAAAGAAAGAAAGAATTTCCCAAAGACAAAAATAAAGGATAAAAAAGATTACTACAGATCTGAGAATTCTATTGTGGTTAATTGAATTTTTGACCCCAATTATTTACCCCTCCCTATGCTCATGCCTTTGCCATGTAACTTTGTAGTTTCACTTTAAAAAGAAAAATATAGTTCCCCACCTCTTGGGATACAGCCTGAAACTAGCTTTGGCAATAGTATGTGGGAAGAAGGGTCTGATAGTTCTGCAGGAAGGTATTGAGTGACATTGTGGTTTCTGCTTGGTTTCTTGCTCTCTTGCCATTGTCATGAGAAGAACATGAGAGACACATGGAGCAGAACTGAGGTTAACACAGTGAGGCGGTAAGCCTCACTAGATACCAGACTTCTACCTATTAGAAAAGCCACCCAGGTAAGTCCAGCTTATATTAGCCATCCCCAACTTGGATCCACATCCATGGAATAAATAAATGCTTCTGTATGAGTACCACTGAGATTTTTGTGATTATTTGTTACACAGCTTTATTTTGACTGTAGCTAACAGATACATTTATAAAGTGAGCAAAAAGGGTATACTTTCCCTTTAAAGGAATCTAAAAAAATATTTTCCTCTTCCTCACATGGATTATTCATTCATTTACCTGGAAAGTCAACAAATTCACATCTGATTGATTGAGAGAGTATTACATCCAATGAGTTCATTTTAGGTTGGCCATTGACTTACTTTTCCCTTATTATCATGCTAACATTTGTATTAACTTTCAAATGTTTTCCCTTTCATCTCATGTGTTGGGGATATAAATGACTGTCTGACCTCATCTTTAAACTTTTGGAATTAAATTAGATCAGTAGTTCTCGAATTGTTCCTTAGGGCCTATGGTTCTAAGGAGGTGTTTGGAAGGCATAATAGAAGCAGAAGAAAGTTAAACAGTTGGAATGCTAACCTATCAATCAGCAAAATTCTGTTTTATCTGTTTTAGATACTGAGACTTCATTTTGAAAATCAGTTTACTGTTTAAATATTAGAGTTTAAAACTATTGGACAAAATGTCTTTTAAACTATTTTTATACTAAAAACCCTATGATTACATTTTTGACCACACCTTTCTCTTTATTGCTATTACCATAATCTTAGAACTAAATTATACCTTGAATAAAATTAACAACGCAATTTTTTTTTATAAATAAGACCCAGAACCGGTAGAAGTAAATGTTTTATGCCATTTGACTGTGGTGACTGAGGAGTTTGAGAAATACCCAAATTTCAAGCAAGGCAACCAGGATATAGTTTAAGGAAAACAATGACCAAAGTTACATCATAGCTAATGTCATTCTCCTCCATAATAAGAAAAGGAAAAAAAAAAAAAAAAGTGTGCCCTGACTGATTTGGCTCAGAGGTTACAGCACCAGCCCGTGGACCAAAGAGTCGCAGGTTCGATTCTAGTCAAGGGCATGTATCTCAGTTGCGGTTTAATCCTGGTCCTGGTCAGGGTCATGCATGAGGCAACCAATTAATGTGTCTCTCTCACACTGATGTTCCTTTCTGCTCTTTCTCTCCCTCCCTCCCACACTATCTAAAATTTAATAGAAAAATATCCTCAGGTGAGAATTAAAAAAAAAAAGTGTATGGTTTGAGTATAGTCTGGAAAATAGGGACTTGGTGAAGAAGAATGTGGAGTGTTTTTCCAGCAATTCCTAGAGTAGAGCCAAAAGATCTGAAGAATGGTCCTATTAGGGTCACTAGAAAAGTGAAGTTGTCTGTGGATGGTAACAGGTTAATCATAAGCTCTCACTGCAGTTTGACTGCTCTGAGAGTAGCAATAAGATTTCTGGCTACAAGGAAAAAGAACTCCTCTCAGAAATATAAAGTTGGCATTTTTGTCTAGGCCAAAATTCTTTGGTGAGTTTGTTTGGTATAAGTCAAATTATAAAACTTCAATATATTCTGAGTTTACTGAAAACATTTAATTTCTTGATCTAGAAAGCTAAGATCAATATCCTAAACCAAAGTTCAGAAAGAAAATGCCCCAGCCTGAGCAGTCAGTAGCCTTCAGTGGACACCACCTCTATCGAGCCCGGATTCCTTTTTTATTCTCATGTGAACAACATGTAATTTCATAATATTTGCCATATCCATCATTATCTACCTTTACATAGTGAAACTTTGTGAGTACATGGTTACAGAAAATGAAGTGAAGTGATACAAACATTTTGTTATCGGCAAGACAATTAAACATTTGTTAGAGTAAAGACAGTTATATCTCCTCAACATGTATTCCTGTGGGTGTGATTCTAACTTTTATCTAAACTAAAAATTTGGACAATGTCTTGACAAGCTGTTTGGGGGGTCATCTGCTGCCTGTAGTGATCAGCATAGGGTAAATTTTATTAAGAAATATGTTGAGAAAAATAAAAAAAATTTCAAACCTGGGACTGATATCTTTCCCACCGTTGGATGTTTCATTTCCATAATGAGGCCATTGTGTAACACCTTAAAATGTAAAAAGAGAGAAAAAAATAAATTACAAAATGAAAGTATCTTCAATTTCAAGGTATATGGAAAGCTACCAATCCAGTCCATTGAAGAAGAACACTTGAAAACAGAAATGCTTGAAATTTTTGTTTGAAAATAAATATTTAATACAAAAGTAATGTTTCTACTTTATATTTTACCAAGTGAAGCTAAAAAAAATTTAGAAGACTCAAAGTCTTCCCACTTTTAAAAATATTACCTGCTCCTAAATAGAGGGTATGCTTTTCCCCCTTTCATCTACGTCTGATCCTCTAAATATTAAAGCTTAAACTCTTCCTACACTGCTTCATAGCAGGATTTGGCCCAGGTCAATTTCAGGACCGGCCAGAAAGACTAGACCTGGGGTGGCACATATGTTCCTGGCAATTTATTTGGTGGAAGGTATGGGGAGTAAGTCCAATTTGAAAGGTGAATCAGAGTATCCAGAAGGCCCAATGACTTGTGGAGGTGGACAGATTCAGGGCTGCTGTGACAAGCAATGAGGAGAGCCAGCAGACAAGGAGCCCGGAGTAGGCCCAGGTCAGAGGCCTGAGCCGAAGATTGAAACCAGAGATGTTTTCAGTGATAGTAAGACCTTAATCGTAAGACTAGGTTTCATAACTAGGATTCCACTATCCTGCAGTCAGTGTGGGGTGAGTGGGGGTGGGAGGAGACAACTGAAAAAGAAAAGCCAGAGACCTCATCTTAGACTCTCGAGGACTGATTAGAATCTCGTGAACTGGGACCAAGAGAGATGTTTATTAGCTTCCCATCAAGAACACAAAATAGACTTGGTCTCAGGGTTAAGATTCAAGGCCAATTACTAGGACTGGGACAATCTAACAGTGTCCAACCAGCAGAAATGTGACTTGATGCTGAATTGCTTGACAGCTGAATCAGAGTTACTCAAATCCTTGGCATATAGAGGCTGTAGTTTTTTTCCTATGGGGTGGGCAGGAAAACAAAATTTTCCAGGATCAAGTGCTTTCCAACTGTAGGAAGAGAAGGAGATGAGAGATTGAATCCATAATTCAAATGGATTGAATTAGATTCTAAACCTAAAAGTTGAATTACTAGAGACAAAATATTCTATAATACCATGAATAAAAATGCTACAAATTGTTTTCTTTTGTTTGTTTTTTAACAACTGGAGGCAACTAGAATATACTATCTCAGAGAACCCAAAAACTTCACTTTACTATTACTATTACTGTATCTTCAGTGAGACATATATGGGTGGCTTATACTACATTTCACCTGCACTATCTATCTACCAAGTGGAGAGCTTCTCTCTTCCTATTCTGTACATAGGCCTAAAGGACAGAAGTATTTCAGTGGCACAGTAAACTAATGGATCACAATTTCATGCTAACATCCCAAAGAATGGCAAGTTGTAATGATTCTATAGTGTTTTGAGCTTCAGGTGAAATGAAAACTTGCATATCCATATTCCTATATAATCTTTACATGAAGTACAAATCATACAATACATAAACTAATAAAAAATGTTTTCTCACTTGTAAAACTCAGATAAAGAAGTCAAATATCTTGTGTTTTTTTTTTAATCCATTTCTAGTGAGCTTTTGGTCTCATTATGGAATAAACCACAAAAATGACAATCTCATGGGTGAGTTTTTAAGGTTAGAACTATGTGCAAAAGATAAATATTATGGCTACCACTGATTTTTGGTGGGGAATGGTGACCACTTTTGGAGCAACATGCTCTTTAAACAACAACCATGTCAGGCCCCTAATTGAGGGTGACACCACACATGTGGAGATCCTTTCTAGGGATGCCTTGTCTCTCTTTTGAAATCACCAGTTTTGCACCTAAGAGCTGGCTAGAGAAAATTCTTGCCAGTGTTAGAACTGTGCTATAATTTAATTCTGGTGTGGCTCGTTCCCAGCACAACCTCCTCCTATGTGGGGGTTGAGGCTAAATGCCAATTCGAGGTGCTAAATCTCAGTTCTGCTAAGGACAGGAACAAAAATATCAAGCTAAATTTCACTCAAAACAATTATCTGCACACTGAATCATTTTTCTCGTATCTCTGTTGCCCTCCTGACTACCTCTTTGTAATAACACTGTACTGCTACTCACAAAAGACAAAAGTGAGTGTTCTTAGCTAAATATAACTTAACTGATAGTGCTGAAATTAATTAACGCTGAATTGTAATTATGTAGCAAGTGTTAGGTGTCAAACGTGAAAGGGTAGTTGGTAAAGGTCAAGGGACATATGTCAAAGTTTTGTGAAGCAAAAGCTAGCAGCTGATTGATGTTTTCCATGGAAGCAGATTAAGAGGTGTATTTCCTACAGCCCTATCCCTTTTGCTATCTATATATGCCATTCCCAGTAAGAAATGCTGTTTCTAACCTTACTAATTCTTTTGCATTGAAAACCATTCTGTTTTAAGCAGAAATATAAGTTCTTTCCCTGTCTAGCAAAGAAAGCTAACAGCAGTTTCTCAGTTCCTGTTTCATTTGTGCAGTTATGAGGCCTCATCTTCAGAAAGAAATGCCTTATTACCTTGCTGGGTTGCCACCCACCTTTATATGTAGTCTGAAATCGATATAATTCCATAGGCTTTCTTTGTGAATCAGGTCAGATTATGTCAGAGAACTGAGGCTGTGGCAACGCCGTCCTTGGAAACCCTGCCTAATGACTTGGAATCTTGGAAAACTCTCTAGCCTTGTTTGTGAGGCAAGTCCTGCTCTGCTTAGTAACTCTACTTGAGGATCTCAGAGACCAGTCAGTCCATTTGAATTTTAAAATAATTTCTCTTGCTGCACTTCAGATTTATTGTTTTATCTTAACTTCATTGGAAATGGAGAAACTGCCACTTACTAACATTTGTGTAACATTTTTATGTGAATGGTTACTAAATGTTCCCTTTTCTTTTTCATCCAGGCTCAACATTGTGATGTTTATTTCCTTAACCTAGAAATTCACATTTAATAGTATTTCATTTGCTGATCTCTAACAATGGAATAGGACCTTGCCTTAGGGACCTTCAACTACCACTTTCCCATAGGGATAATTTCATGTCTACAACCTCAGTCATGCCATTCAGGATATTCTTCATTACATATTTAGTTATTTTGATATAAGGCAAGGATCTTCCCTAGAATTTTGTAGTGGATTTTGTCCTCCTTTTATTTATTTATTATTTATTTATTTATTTATTTATTTATTTATTTATTTTTATCCTCACCTGAAGACATTTTCCCATTTTTTGTTTAGGTAGAGTGGGAGGGAGAGAGAGGAACAGAGAGAGGGAGAAACATCAACGTGAAAGGGACACATCGAGTGGCTGCCAACTGCATGACCAACCAGGGCCAGGGACAAATTGCAACCGAGGTACGCGCACTTAGCAGGAACCAAACCCGGGTCTCTCGGGACCGCAGGCCAATGTCCTAACCGCAGAACCAAACTGGCCAGGGCCTTTTATTTATTTTATCCTCTCTAAATTATTCCTGGTTTGGTAGCTTTTCTAAATTTCATTTCTTGTCCTTGAAATTTCAAAAGCATTTTCCTAACAATAATAGAACTATAGACAGTGCGCCAACATCTTTAGCGAAGTATCAGGCCCATTTAAAATAAGGCCTCTATTTCTTTTTCAAGAGTTTTACAGATTGACAGCATAATGATAGAGTCAAATGGTAATGTATTAATGATGGGGAGGAGAATAAAATATATACCTTAACTTGATGTGGGAAATACAGGTTTAAGTGAAAGTAAGGCAGTCTTTTTATAAGTCCTATGGCAGGAATGGGAGGGGGGAAAGTCTGTAATAGAGCACTAGCAAGAAAAATAAAAGTAAAAAAGATAAATAAAAATGCCCACTAAATAGGCAGTGAGAATCTTTACAGAAAACAAGAGATCTGGGTCAAGAATAGAAGTAACAAGGCATATTCAAATGAAAAGAGACTGATAAGATGCTGGCATTAAATGACATACAAGTGATACATATAAAAAGCACATCAAAACACTATATACATAAACACAGACACAGAGACACAGACAACAACATGGTTCTAGCCAGAGGGAAAGGGGGTGGGGGAAGGTGGAAGAGGGAAAAGGGAGGATAAATGGGGACTGGAAAGAGATTTTGCTGAGTGATGGCTGCACGATGCAGTGTGCAAATGATGTTTTGTTTACTTATATACTTGAAACCTACATGGTTTTAAGAATCAATGTCACCCCAATAAATTCAATTAAAAAATCAATGGAATATCATCAATGATATTAACTATGATGCACAAAAGAGAATCGATTTATCCATTCACTATGAATAGAGACATGATCTAGTCATTCAATTTAATAAACATTGTAGAGCACCAATACTGTATACTAGACGATATGAAAGGGCTGGTGATAAAAAGACAAAAAAACTTCATTCAAAGTGCCTATAACTTTTTTTTAATCCTCACCCAAGGATATTTTTCCATTTCTTCAGATAGAGTGGGAGGGAGGGAGAGAAAGAGAGAAATATCCATGTGAGAGAGACACATCCATTGGTTGCCTCCCACACGACCCCAACCAGGTCTGGGGACAAAACCACAACTGAGGTATGTACCCTTGACCCAAATCTGCATCTCTTTGGTCCGAGGGTCAACGCTACAACTGCTGAGCAAAACCAGCCAGGGCAAAGTGCCTATAATCAGAAGAAAGGGTAGGGTATAAGAGACTGAAGCTAATTTGTAAGACATACTTTAAACTTCACAAGGTCCAATAAGGAACAAGTAAGTAACTCTGCCTCCCTTCAAAGGAAGCTGAAGAATGTATGTCAAGGAGGCAAGTAACTTTCAACAATAAAAGAGAGAAAAAAAAAAAAAAACTCTTCAGGAAAATAAAAGTACAAATTAGTTATTAGGCTGATGAACCTCAAAAGGAAGGGAGGCAGGGGTGGAGGGGGGCAGCAAGAAGAGATAAACCAAAGGGGTTGGAAATGATACTGAAATATAACATTAAGGTTAA